TAGTTTGATAAGAGTAGGTATTAAAGGGACTTCCCTGGCATGCCAGTGGTTAAGTCTCTGCTTTTCCAATGCAGTGTGTGTGGGTCCAATCCCTGGTCAGGGAAATGAGATCCTGCATGCCATGTGGCATGGCAAAAAAGAATAAGTATTAAGCCTTCTTTTTATGTTTGGTAGAATTCCCCTGTGAAACTGTCTGCCCTGAACTTTGGTTTTTAAGGGCTTTGATTACGAATTCAGTTTCAGCAGTGGTAATTGGTCTGTTTAGATTATTTATTCCTGATTTAGTTTTGGAAGATTGTGTGACAATGGGAATGTATTTCTTCTAGATTGTGCAATTTGTTGGCATGTAACTTCATAGAATTCTTTTTTTTTTCCATAAATAGTATGATTATTTGCAAAATAAAAATAAAAAAAAGTGTGATTATTTGAATCTCTGATATCAGTTGCAATTTCTCCTCTCCCATTTTTTATTGCTTTTGTTTGGTACCCTCTTTCCTCTTGTTTCTTCATGAGCCAGGTTAAAGCCTCATCAATATTATTTATCTTTTCAAAATACTGCTCTTGGGTTCACTGATCTTTTCTCAGATTATTTCCTCTCTGATGTTTTTTATTTCTTTTTTTCTGATAACTTTGGGCTTTGGTTGTTCTTTTAATTCCTTTCAGTATTAAATTAGGTTGTTTATTTGAGTTTTTTCTTATTTCTTGAGATAGTCCTACTATCATAAGATAAATTCTCTCTTCTAACTGCTTTTGCTGCATCCATAACTTTGGTGAAGTTTTGTTTCTGTTTTCATTTGTCTTGACGTATTTTCCGGTTTCCTCTTGATTTCATCATTGACCCATTGGTTTTGTAATAGCATGTTACTTTGTCTCCATGCTTATTCTTTTCCTATTTTTCTTTGTGTAATTGATTTTTAGTTTCATACCACTGTGATCAGAAAAAAATGCTTAATATAATTTCTATCCTTTTAAATTTGTCGAGCTTACATGTTATCTCTCTTGGAGAACATTCCATGTGTACTTGAAAAGAATATTTATTTTGCTCTTTGGGGATGGAATGTCTTGTAGTTATCTATTAAGTCCAGCTGGCCTAAATGTGTCTTTTAGCACCATTGTTTTCTTACTTATTTTCTGTCTTGATAATGTGTCCACTGATATAAGTTGGGCATTAAAATTCCCTATTTTTATTGTATTACGGTTAATGTCTCCCTTTATGACTGTAATTGCTTTATTTATTTAGGTGCTCCTGTATTAAGCCATATAGGTTAACAGATGTTATATCCTCTTGTATTGATGCTTTTATCATTATCAAATGCCTTTCTTTGTCTTTTGTTTGGACTTTGTTTTAAAGTTTTCTTTGTCTGCTATGAGTAATGCTACTTCAGATTTTTGTTTGTTTGCATTTGTGTGGAATATCTTTTTCCATCCTTTCACTTTCTGTGTATGTCTTTAGCTTTACTAATTTGTGATTGCCATGGGGTTCATATGTTGACCTGTAACTAGATGTACTTGTTTTAAACTAAAAGTGATTTAATTTCAAGCACATTCTAAATTATTTGCTCCCTTCTTCCACATTGTTTGTTTTCAATGTCGTGTTTTATGTTTATCCCTTAACTGATTATTGTAGTCACAGTTTCTTTTAATCTTCATGCTAGCTTACTTAAACCCTTGGTCTACAGCCTTTACTATATATTTACCTTTACTAGTGGAATTATCCTTTCCTATACATTCTTTCTTCTTGTTGTAGCCTTTTTGTTTCTACCTAGAGAAGACCCTTTAACATTTCTCTTTGGGTTCTTTTAGTACTGATGAACTCTTCTAGTTTTTGCTTGATAAGTTTTTATCTCTCCTTCAGTTTTGAATGGTAACCTTGTTGAGTAGAGTATCTTAAGTAGTAGGTTTTTCCCTTGAAGCACTTTAAATGTATTATGTTCTTCTGTTCTGCAAAGTTTCTGCAGAAAAATCAGCTGATAGCCTTAAAGGGGTCCCTTGTATGTGATGCTTTGTTTTTCTCTTGGCTGCCTTTAGAATTTTCTCTTTAGCTTTTGCATTTTATTATTATATATTTTTGTACAGATCTCTTTGGATTCATCTTGTTAGGGACTCTGTACTTTCTGCACCTGGATATCTGTTTCCTTCTTCAGATTCAGGAAATTTTCAACCATCATTTCATCAAATACATTTTGACCCTTTCCTCTCTCCTCATTCTGGGACCCTTCCAATAAGAATGTTAGAATGCAGCATGTTGTCCCAGAAGTTCCTTAAACTGTTTTTTCTTCTGCCCCGCCATGTGGCTTTGAGGATACTTAGTTCCTCAACCAGGAATCAAACCCAGGCCCACAGCAGTGAAAGTGCTCAGTCCCAATCACTGGACCACCAAGGAATTCCTAACTGTCCTAATTTTTTTAATTTGATTTTTCTGATTGAGTGATTTCTGTTATTCTATTTTCCAGATCACTTATACTTTCTGTGTCACCACGTCTACTGTTAATCCTTTCTAGTGTGTTTGTCATTTCAGTTATTGTATTCTCCACTTCTGACTGGTTCTTTTTTATATTTTCTAGTTATAATTCTCATTGTGTTCTTTCTTTCTTTTCCCAAGTTCAATTAGCATTCTTATTACTACTGCTTTAACCCCTTGTTATATTTATCTTCATTGAATTAGTTGTTTGTCAGGGTTTTGTGTGTGTATCCTTTCATTTGAAACAAATTCTTCTGTCTTCTCCTTTTGTTTAACTTTCTCTGTCACTATGAAATTAAGTGAAACAGTTGCCTATCCCATCTTTGAAGGTCTGTCCTTTTGTGGGACGACCCTTATGCATTCTTCGTGTACCCCGTAGCTTTGATTGGCAGCTGGATCTAAAGTAAGCACAGGGCAACTTCCTTGGTGGTCCAGTGGTGGAGACTCTGCTTCCACTGCAGGGGGATGGGTTCAATCCCTGGTCAGGGAACTAGGATCCAACAACTTGTGTGGCATGGCCATAAATAAATAACACTTTAAAAAACAAAGTGAGCACATATCATGTCTTTCCTCGGGGAGTTTTGGCAGCTGTCACCTTGTTGGGTGATGGCTGGAGATAGAAGGGCTCGAGCCAGAACCCTGTGTAGGCTGGTCCTTCTCCCATGCTCAGTGGCTGTCAGTGACCTGTCAGCAGGGGTGGGGCAGGTCCCGACGTGCTGGAAGCAGAAGCCTTGACTGTCGAGTCTGAGTTGGTTCTGTTCCCTCCAAGTGTGCTCTCTCTTTTCTCTCAGAACTAGAGCAGGAGGTTTGCTGTGTGCCAGACACACACTGAGACTGTCCAGGAAGCCAGTCAAGGAGCCAGACAACTCATGATCCACCACCTCCGCAAGTGCCAGCAGTAGCCTCTCTCACCCCATTCAGATGAGGTGTTGGGTCCCAATCTGGTACATCCCCCAAGTGTATACTCTTCCTTGGCAGCAAACACTTTTCCCTAGTTGGAAACTGACCTGAGCTTCAGGCAGGTTCAGCCTGCTTCCTCCACCTTGTTCCTGGAAATAAGCAAGCTGTGCACATTTTCTAGTTATAATTCTCATTGTGTTCTTTCTTTCTTTTCCCAAGTTCAATTAGCATTCTTATTACTACTGCTTTAACCCCTTGTTATATTTATCTTCATTGAATTAGTTGTTTGTCAGGGTTTTGTGTGTGTATCCTTTCATTTGAAACAAATTCTTCTGTCTTCTCCTTTTGTTTAACTTTCTCTGTCACTATGAAATTAAGTGAAACAGTTGCCTATCCCATCTTTGAAGGTCTGTCCTTTTGTGGGACGACCCTTATGCATTCTTCGTGTACCCCGTAGCTTTGATTGGCAGCTGGATCTAAAGTAAGCACAGGGCAACTTCCTTGGTGGTCCAGTGGTGGAGACTCTGCTTCCACTGCAGGGGGATGGGTTCAATCCCTGGTCAGGGAACTAGGATCCAACAACTTGTGTGGCATGGCCATAAATAAATAACACTTTAAAAAACAAAGTGAGCACATATCATGTCTTTCCTCGGGGAGTTTTGGCAGCTGTCACCTTGTTGGGTGATGGCTGGAGATAGAAGGGCTCGAGCCAGAACCCTGTGTAGGCTGGTCCTTCTCCCATGCTCAGTGGCTGTCAGTGACCTGTCAGCAGGGGTGGGGCAGGTCCCGACGTGCTGGAAGCAGAAGCCTTGACTGTCGAGTCTGAGTTGGTTCTGTTCCCTCCAAGTGTGCTCTCTCTTTTCTCTCAGAACTAGAGCAGGAGGTTTGCTGTGTGCCAGACACACACTGAGACTGTCCAGGAAGCCAGTCAAGGAGCCAGACAACTCATGATCCACCACCTCCGCAAGTGCCAGCAGTAGCCTCTCTCACCCCATTCAGATGAGGTGTTGGGTCCCAATCTGGTACATCCCCCAAGTGTATACTCTTCCTTGGCAGCAAACACTTTTCCCTAGTTGGAAACTGACCTGAGCTTCAGGCAGGTTCAGCCTGCTTCCTCCACCTTGTTCCTGGAAATAAGCAAGCTGTGCACGCTCATCAGGAGCAGAGTCTTGGATTCTTACAGCCCCCCTGTAAGTCCCACTTGTTTACAAACCAGCTAAGGGAACTTGTCTTCCTGATGTCAGACTACAGGTTTGCAGTGTCCAATTTGTGGTTCAAACCTCCAAGCCCATGATGTTCCTTTTCTTTGTTCCTTTCCTGGACCCCCGACCACTTCCCCTCCTTTCCTACCTGACTCTGTGGGGACATTTTTGTACAGACTTGGTTTTGGAAGCATCTTTCTGCTGATGTCCAGTTTGTTTTCAGTGAGACTTGCTCCACGTGTGGATGTACTTTTTATTTGTTCCTGAGAGGGGATGTGAGCTCAATGTGCACCTACTTCACCAGCTTTCCTCTCTGTGAGATTTTCTGAATGCACAGGGATATTTGGGAATTTTAAACTAAAGTAAAATGACTTCCACGCAAGGACCAAGGGAATTATGATCAATTCTGGGTGCTCATGCCTTCCTTCTTCTCCCAGGTGTTCTTACTAAGGACTCTTTCTGCCTTCCTGAGGAAAAGATAGAAGCAAACAGGATGGTAACTGAGTGTTTGAGAAATTATTCTCAGGTAAGAAGAAAGCATATCCTTATACAAAATGACCTACTGCATTTACCAGATGGACACATTTGAGCTACTTAAATAAAGTCTGTCTGAATCCCTGTTGAATTGCCTCCCAAAATGGAAGATCTCATACTGCTGAAGGATTGCTCTGAATAATCATAATATTTCAATAATTACCTTCTGGAAGCAGAAGGTCTGTCTCATGATTGCAACTCCCGTTTCGTGTGTTTTTTTTCCTGTTGTCCTGACATGATAAGGAATGAGAGTATGTATTTCTCAGTGAATTTATTTATTCATCAGCTTGTACAAATATCTGTAATTTGCTTAGAATTGTGTTACTGGTTCCATATTGATCAGAAATGAGTGTAGATAGAAAGACCTTTGTGTCGTGGGGGAGATTATGAGAGAACTTGAAGCCCTCTGTTGATATTGAGTCTTCCTGCTTCATTTCCCCACTGAACACTGTTGAAGATCTTACTTTACTGAAGCTAGTATGTGTATGATGGTTCAGGACTCAGTGACCTTTGCTGATGTGGCTGTGAACTTCACCCAGGAAGAATGGACTTTACTGGACTGCTTTCAGAGAAAGCTATACAGAGATGTGATGCTGGAGAACTACAAGAACCTGACCACAGCAGGTATAGCCACCATCATTCCTGTAGCCTCTTAGGAGACAGACATATATGTGCTGTACCATCTGTGTTCCAAGATGGGTGATGTCAATCTGAACACAATGGAAACTAGTAGACATTTGTCTCTACATGAATGAGTTTTAACCCAGTATGGTTTATGTAACAATATGGTTTTAGAACTAACAGCATTCAGTTCAGTTCAGTTCAGTTGCTCAGTCGTGTCTGACTCTTTGTGACCCCATGAACCACAGCATGCCAGGCCTCCCTGTCCATCACCAACTCCCGGAGTCCACCCAAACCCGTGTCCATTGAGTCGGTGATACCATCCAACCATCTCATCCTCTGTCATCCCCTTCTCCTCCTGCCCTCAATCTTTCCCAGCATCAAGGTCTTTTTCCAGTGAGTCAGTTCTTCACATCAGGTAGCCAAAGTATTGGAGTTTCAGCTTCAGCATCAGTCCTTCCAGTGAACACCCAGAACTGATCTCCTTTAGGATGGACTGGTTGGATCTCCTTGCAGTCCAAGGGACTCTCAAGAGTCTTCTCCAACACCACAGTTCAAAAGCATCAGTTCTTCTGCACNCTGCAGTGATTTTGGAGCCCAGAAAAATAAAATCAGCCACTGTTTCCACTGTTCCCCCATCTGTTTGCCGTGAAGTGATGGGACAAGATGCCATGATCTTAGTTTTCTGAACATTGAGCTTTAAGCCAACTTTTTCACTCTCCTCTTTCACTTTCCTCAAGAGGCTCTTTAGTTCTTCTTCACTTTCTGCCATAAGGGTGGTGTCATCTGCATATCTGAGGTAATTGATGCTTCTCCTGGCAATCTGGATTCCAGCTTGTGCTTCCTCTAGCCCAGCATCTCTCATGATGTACTCTGCATAAAAGTTAAATAAGCAAGATGACAATATACAGCCTTGAGGTACTCCTTTTCCTATTTGGAACCAGTCTGTTGTTCCGTGTCCAGTTCTAACTGTTGCTTCCTGACCTGCATACAGGTTTCTCAAGAGGCAGGTCAGATGGTCTGGTATTCCCATCTCTTTCAGAATTTTCCACAGTTTATTGTGATCCACACAGTCAAAGGCTTTGGCATAGTCGATAAAGCAGAAATAGATAGTAACAGCATTACTCAATTGTTCACTTAGGCATAGTGAATGAAACACTGGAATTTGGGCCCAGTCATCTGTGTTTTAACAAGCACTGGACATGATTCTCATAGACACCAAAATTTAGGTGCCTGTTAATAGCCAGAGAAGGCAGTGGCACCCCACTCCAGTACTCTTGCCTGGAAAATCCCATGGACGGAGGATCCTGGTGGGCTGCCATCTGTGGGGTCGAACAGAGTCAGACACGACTGAAGTGACTTAGCAGCAGCAGTTTAGTGGCTTCTCCATAAGAATGAACATTTCTTTTTGCACTTATTTCATTTTCCACTTTAATAAAAGTCTTAGTGCTTTGTAAATGTACATATAGGTCTGAACTTTTATTTCAGGGGCCAGAGAGATGGTCTCTCTGAGACACAGAAAGAGGAACTATTCACCTTTATATCTCTTTTGGAATATTATTGATACCACATTCATTCTAATGACCTGACTAGATACTGGACCTTATTCATGGGAAGGTTTGTCTTGTTTGGAGGGCTGTTTCTATTAATAGATCTTTCCTCATGAACAGGATATCAGGTGTTCAAACCCACTCTGATCTCTTGGTTGGAAGAAGAAGAGTTGAGTACTGTAGAGAGAGGACTCCTCCAAGGTGAGTGATTGTAAAGAACTTTGCATGTTAATAAAATTTCAGCGTGCTTTTAATTTATAATGAGGCAACTTGTTAAGATGTGCTTTTCTCTCAGAAGGCTGAGGTCATAGGTTTCGGATGCTCTGTACCTTCCTCAACTTCTCATATGTACTTGTATGTGAGTGCTAAGTCGCTTCACTCATGTCCAAGTCGTTATGACTCTGGGTTGTAGTCCCCCAGGATCCTCTGTCCATGGGACTCTCCAGGCAAGAATACTGGAGTGCCCTCCTCCAGAGAATCTTCTGACCAGGGATCGAACCCATGTCTCTTGTGTCTCCTGCATTGGCAGGCAGGTTCTTTACCACTGGCACCACCTGGGAAGCCCCTCATACATACTTACTCTCCATTTAATCAGAATTTCCAATCATCTCATAAAATAACCTGTTGTTTCTTCTTTAGTTTTAACATTTTGATGTATACTCTTTGTCCAGAACATTCCCTGATAATACTCTGTCTCTTCCCTTCATGTTTAATTTTCAAAGACTTGTCTTTTAAATCAAATGCTGAATTTTGACTACATATACATATATTACTACTTAATATTTGACATAATCAAACTCCCCAAATCTATCTTGCCTTTTTAAAAGATATGCTTAATTTGGAAAAACATACAACTGAGCCTTATTGTTTTTACTTCCTTTAACATCCACTTCTTTTTGCAAAGTCTTAAATTAGTCATTCTCTTTTAGAGTGGGGAATGCAACTTAAAGCCAAAGACTCAGGAATTCAGCAGAATATTTTTGGGAAAAAAATGTCAAATGGGATACAAAAGGTAAGGTCACTAAATTTCAAAAAAATATTTCTTATTTTCCATGTAGATAATTTTAGGATTTTCGTTAGAATATGAGCACAAGTGATAGATATTTGAGATCAAAGGCATTCACTCTGGAGATAACAATGTCTCTCAAAGAATTCTTATTATGACTAACTTGGGGATATCCTATCCCAAGGTTGATACTTGTTGCTTCAAAATTCCCACAAGGAATCACTCCCACTTATATAAATTAGACATGGAGTTTTCAAAACAATTCACTGAAGCTGTATAGAAGCCTTTTTTTCTTTTTTAAGAAACAGGTTTATTTTTTTGTTCTGTTTTGTTTTTAATTTTTTAAATTATGAAAGTATGATAACACATTTACAGGAGACTTAGAAAATACAGAACAAAGTTACATATATATACTACATTTATACACTATATATACTACAATTATTGTTTCAGGTATAAAAATTAAGGTTTTTAGTAGAGTGTCAATATCAACTCTTAGAAATTAATAGAACGAACAGAGGAAAAGTAGAAGGGTATAGTAGACCTTACACACACACACGTGCTATGAACCAATTCAACATAATTAAGATTTATACAATTTTCACACAACTGCAGGATACAAATTCTATTCAGGTTCCCATAGACTATAAACCAGGAAACACTAGAACATATCGAGGGACATAAAACAAGGCGCAGAAATTTCATGCTGTAAGAGTATTGAAATCATAGTGTCTGTTCTCTTGTCACTGTAGGGAATTATGTTAGAAATCAATATCAAGAGATAACTGAAAATAACCCTCATATTTTCAAGTGCAGTGTGACATTTACCAAGAGAACTCTTTAACTTAGCCATTGAAAGCCTCAATGAAGTTGAAAGACTGAAAAAACACAGAAGGTGATGGCTGAGAAGAAAGCATTTAAATGAGAAATTAATATCAAGGATACTTTAGAAACCCCATGTATTTGGAAATTTAAATGTCCACTTTTAAATGATAGATGTAGCTCAGAATCCATAAGAAGGAAAATTTGAAAATATTAGTAACNTCCAACACTAGCAGGTAGGTTTGGTTCAGTCTCCTGTGGGGTCACTGCTCCTTTCTCCTGGGTCCTGATACATGCAAGATTTTGTTTGTGACTTCCAAGAGTGGAGTCTCTGTTTCTACCCATCCTGTGGAAGTCCTGCAGTCAAATCCCACTGGCTTTCAGATTCCATGGTGATTCCCTTTGCTGGATCTGGAAGCTGAGAAGCCTTGCATGGGGCTCAGAACCTTCACAGCAGTGCGAGAACTTACTTGGTATTATTGTTTTCCAGTTTGTGGGACACCTATGCAATGGGTACGTGATTTGATTTTATCGTGATAGCACTCCTCCCACCATCTTGTTGCCACTTCTCCTTTGTGTTTGGACGTGGGGTATGTTTTTTTTGGTCGGTTCCAGCATCTTTCTGTCGATGGTTGTTCAACAGCTAGTTGCAATTTCAGTGCTGTCACAGGAGAAGAGTGCACATCCTTCTATTCCGCCATCTTGAACCCATCCCCTACTTTATTTTGATTGCTTATTTATTTGACTACTGTGGGTCTTCATTGCAGTGTGTCGGCTTTCTCTCTAGTTGCAGCACACAGACTCAGTTGCCCCATGGCATGTGGGTTCTTTGTTCCATGACCAAGTATTGAACACATGTCCTCTGCATAGGAAGGTGGATTCTTAACCATTGAACCACCAGGGAATCCCCTGTAGAACTCTTTTAGGATGAGAGTATATGGCACATCATTCTTACAGAAGGATTTTATCATTTAAATTGAAATAAATCAACAGGGCAAGCATAGTATGAATGTAATGGAGATGGTATAAATCATTCATCCTCATTATAATAATGTTTCTATTTTGAGATGGGTAGGAGGAGTTAATGAGTCTGAGAAATCTTTGAATCATCGTTCTTCCATTTCTCCACAGGCGAGAGGCCATAAAGTACAGGAACTCTATGACAGTGAGCAATGTGGGACAGACTTCAGTGACCACTCATGCCTTAGGACACACAGGAGTACTCAAAATGGAGGGAACCCTTATGAAGATAATCAGTATGGGAAAAACTTCCTTACTCTGCACAACAAATCCTTTACTGGAGAAAAATGTTCCATGTTTAATCAGTGTGGAAAAACTGTCATGCTGACTCCAGATATTATACCCTGGAAATCTAACATACAAGAAAAAGCCTTAGAACACAGAGATATTGGGAGAGCCTTTGTTAATCAGTCTTACCTTCGGACACAAGTGAGAGCTCACAATAAAGAAAAGCTCTACAAATGGAAGGAATATGGAAAAACTTCTGTTCACTCAACAAGACTTTGTGCACATGTGCCAACTCACACTGCTAACAAATGCTACAGATGTGAGAACTCTGGGAGAGTCTCCACTGCATCCCTAAGCCATAGACAACATATAAAAACACACACTGGAGAGAAGCCTTTTCAGTGTGACACATGTGGGAAAGCCTTTAGGTTTTCCTCATACCTTCTTGTTCACAGTCGAATTCACACTGGAATAAAACCCTACAAATGTAAGGAATGTGGGAAAACCTTTAGATTGTCTTCATACCTTCGTGTTCACAGTCGAATTCACACTGGAATAAAACCCTACAAATGCAGGGATTGTGGGAAAGCCTTTAGATTATCCTCATACCTTCGTGTTCACAGCCAAATTCACACAGTAATAAAACCTTACAAATGTGAGGAATGTGGGAAAGACTTCAAACATTCTCTGCCCTTTAACATTCACATGGGAACTCACACTGGAGAGCAACCCTATAAATGTAAGGAATGTGGGAAAACCTTCACTCGATCCTCAGGCCTTATTGAACATATGAAAACTCACACTGGAGAGAAGCCTTTTAAGTGTGACACTTGTGGGAAAACCTTCACTCGATCCTCAGGCCTTATTGAACATATGAAAACTCACACTGGAGAGAAGCCTTTTAAGTGTGACACTTGTGGGAAAACCTTCACTCGATCCTCAGGCCTTACTGAACATATGAAAACACACACTGGAGAGAAGCCTTTTAAGTGTGACACATGTGGAAAAACCTTCACTCGATCTTCAGGCCTTACTCGACATATGAAAATTCACACTGGTGAGAAGCCTTTTAAATGTGACACGTGTGGGAAAGCCTTTGCTTCTTCTTCCCACCTTATTAGACATCTACAGTCTCATACTGCACAGAAGACTATTAAATGTGATAAATGTGGGAAGGCCTTTGCTAATTCCTCATATCTTACTATACATTTTAGAACTCACACTGGAGAGAAGCCTTTTGAGTGTAATGTGTGTGGGAAAACATTTACCACTTCTTCATATCTTATCATACACAAACGAACTCACACTGGAGAGAAACCATATGAATGTAAGGAATGTGGAAAAACCTTTTCTCACTTCTCAAGCCTTTCTTACCATATAAAACGACATTGAAGAAAGGCTATTGAAATGTGACAAATGCGGAAAAGCCCATCCTGCTTTCTCTTATCTTATGAAACATTTTTTAAAAAATTTTGGCTGCACCCCAGAGCATGTGGGACCTTAGTTCCCAGTGATTGAACCCAAGTCCCCTGCATTGGAAGGTGGAGTTTTAACCACTGGACCACCAGGGAAATCCCTTACTAAATATTTTTTAATTCATAGTGGAAAGATGCCTTTAGAATGTAATAAATGTGGGAAAAGATTTGCCAGTTCTTCACCCTTTGCCATTCACAAATGTATTCACACTGATGAGATACTGTATAAGTGTTTGGAATGAGGGGAGGCATTTGCTGCTGCTTCATCTCTAAGTTTGTGGGGTTTTTTTTGTCCTTTCTAAGCATTTTTGAAATGTTATTTATTCATTTTGGCTGTACAATGCAGCTTGTAGGGTATTAGTTCCCCAACCAAGGATTAAACCCAGGCCCTTGGGAGTGAGAGCATGGAGCTGTAACCACTACTGGACTGCCAGGGAATTGTCTTAAGTATTTTAGAGCTCATACAGGGCAGAAGACTTTCGAGTGTAATATATGTGGGAAAACATGTACCAGTTCATCCATTACCACACAGAAGGCTATTCACAGTGGAGAGAAACCCTATAAATGTAAGGCACAGAGGAAAGCTTTTTGTCTTTCTGATTCACTTCCAACAACATGAAAGGTCAACACTTGGGAGCTGCTTTACAGATGTTAAGAGTATGGTAAGGACGTAAGTCTCACAACTGTTATGTAAGCTATCACAGTGGGGATTTCCCTGGTGGTCCAGTGGTTAAGAATCTGCCTTGCAGTGCAGTGGACACGAGTTTAATCCCTGCTTGGGGAACTAAGATCCCACATGCCACAGAGCAACTAAGGCTGCACACTACAAGTACTGAGCCTGCACACTGCAACTAGTGAGTCCATGCACAGCAGCAAAGGATCTGGCATGAGGCAACAAAGTTCTTATGTGCCACAAGTAAGACTCAATACAGCCAAATAAAAAAACTCACAGTGAAGCCATATGATAATATTAAGAGGCATGGACAGACGTTCACTCTTGCCTCAGTGAAATTTATGTTTTTTAAATATGGGAGATCTTGCAGTAGACAGAAATCCTACTGATTTAAGCTATGTGGGTAAGTTTTTTTTATTATTTTTTACAGTTTATACCTTTAGGTAAAAGAAAGTAATTTTAACTTGTTCTTATTACGTGGTTATTTATTGAAGACATCCAATGTACCCTTTCCTGTGTAAATTCTAATTCTGCTAAATAATGTTCACTTATAATCTCACTGTGGAGAAAAACTTTATGAATGTAAGAAGTTAATTGTGGAGTCATCATTTTCCATTAGACTGTTCCTCATTCTTAATAAACATGAGGTGTTTCACAGTCAAGAGAAACTGAATATGGAGTATTTGGAAAATACTATCCTGAGTCTGAAATCTTAGAGTTGCTGAGAGGTGTAGAGTTCTGGGGGGTTCTGTAGATCTATTTTAAGCATTTGTGATTTGGCTGTGACCTCAGGGAGACTCCAACGCGACTGAGAAACTAAACAACAAGAATAAATTCTTGCACACAGTGTGTCTGTCTTTACTCTCATAGCTAGACCAGGCCAGTATAGTGACTGCACTTTCAGATTGCAACTGGGTCTAAAGTGGACCTTCAGGATATGCACTTTATCCTTGTCTAACCTGCTGGATTCTCTTGTTGGATTGACATTGTCTTCACATTATGAAGACTGAGTGCTTAAATGTGTACAGTGCTCGCTAACCTCATTTACAGTGAGGACTTTCCTGGTGGCTCAGATGGTAGAGAATCTGCCTGCAATGCAGGAGACCTGGGTCCAATCCCTGAGTCGGGAGTATCCACTGGAGAAGGGAATGGCTACCCACTCCAGTATTCTTGCCTGGAGAATTTCATGGACAGAGGAGCCTGGTGGTCTACAGTCCATGGGGTCACAAAGAGTTGGACATGACTGATGAACTAACTTTCTTTTCATGCTGTCCAAGGTGAGGGATATGGTATGTCTATAAATTTTGTAAAATTATCCTGTCATTCTTATCCTGATCCTGTCATGGCACAAGATAAGGTTACATCTAATGTGAGTCACCCCTTTTTCATGACTTTTGTAGATGAACAACCCCAGCATCTCAGGGAGAACCTTTAATCTCAAGCTGTGCAGAAATTAATTGAGAATAATATTCTCTTTCACCCCTAAACCCAACACCACGGTCTGGCAAAACAACTGTATTTTTCTTGGTCAGACAACAGCTGTCACTGATGATGTAACCTGCTTCTGTATTTGTCATTCCACACATCTGCTGTGAAAACAGAAAAACTCATGTGAATAGAGCTGGTCCTGATCATCTGCTGTGCTTGATGCCATCAGTGGCAGTTCCTGAGTGTGGGTCTTGGGTGCAGATACAGACCTGCAGAAACTCGTTCTAGCCTTAACAAAGTTCTTGTGCTTGAGCAGCCTTGGGTTATGTTGAGTTTGGCTATCATGTCTGCAGCTGCTTGATGATGCTTTATTGAGGTTTAATTAAACTATTGTAATGATAATGATAATCCAGATCAACCTTAATAAATCCTGAACAAGAATTGCATGTGCAATTTTGTGTTACACATTTGTATGTATGGAGGAATATGTCATGTTGTAGTTTAATTTGGGGTGTGTACATTGTGACTCAGCCCATCTGTTGCCCCCTTTAATTATTTGCAATGACTAAGGGTTACAGATTGGCTTTAGATGTAGCCTAATTGTCTGAAATAAGACCTTAGTATCCTAGAGATTTTTCCAGTGGTCCAGAGGTTAAGCATCGGCTTAACCCTCTGGACCAGGGGTTAAGTAATGCAGGAGACTCGGGTTTGATCCCTAGTCTGGGAACTAAGATCCCACATGCTGCAGAGTAACTAAACCTGCACACTAAACTAGAGTCCATACACCACAATGAAAGACCCTATGTGCTGCAACTAAGATCCAATACAGTCAAATATTTTTTAAAAAACCTACCCACTGAATCTCTTACAATTGCCTGAGTCTGAGACCTTGCGGGCAATGTTGAGATCACTGCTGCAGATTGACCTCATTCTGCTTGGCCTCCTAGTGACTGTCGTCAAGTGCTGAGCAAGATAAATCAAGTAAATATGGTCCCAGCTTTTGTTATTCAGTGAGTGACAAAGTGGCATATTCACATGGAAATTCTCCAAAGCCAAGATGATGTGAGCCATGTATGCTACAACATGGATGAACCTTGGAAAAACATTTTAAGTGAAAATAGTTATTTATATGAAAAATCTAGAAAGTGCAAGTCTGCGTATAGAGAAAGTATATTTGTGGTTGTTTAGATATTGAGAGAAATGAAGTGGGTGATTTGACAGCCAGAAGCTGCTTTTGAAGTGAAAAGATTATAAAATTGTGATGGTTACCAGTGAATATATCAATACGAAGACAACATTGAGTTGTATAAATTCAATAGGTGTATTGTATGGTAGGCAAATTATGTCTCAATAAAGTGGTTCCAAGAATCAAAATAGATACTCTTGATTATACCTTCATTGATCGGGTAGTTACCAGAAGAGCCAGCCAGGCCGCCCAAAGGAGGCCCGTTGAAGCCTCCTACAAGGAACTCGTCCTTGGACGCCCTCCTTCCAGCATGGTACACTCTGGTTCACTGAGGGCCTCACCTAGCCGGGATGCAACTAACCACCACAAAGCTAATCACAGGGAGAGGCACAGACAACAGGAATCTCTGGCGTCATTTCCGTTCCCCACCTTGAAAAAGAGGTGTCAGCTATGTGAGGTGGACTNTAAATTCTTCATACCGTCGAGAAAAGACACACACACTGAAAACCTGCTTAAGCACAGAACTTCTCATTTGACAGCTCTGGGCCGGGGCCACGCACATTTTACAGGGAGCTTTTGCTTCTCAAGCTTAGTGAAAGTCTGGCAATCATTTTGTATAAAAATAAGACTTAAATTTAAAACCTCACCAAACTAGGAATCTGATGTAGAAAATCAGTCACACTGAAGTGGCTAAAGCCCACAGTTCTCAGACTGCAGCCCGTGTCCCACTGACCTGCGAGGCCCCGCCCTGCGTGTCTGAGGCCTGGGGGGGCCCAAGTCCCTGAAGCACTAGCGGATTCCCTGGGGGGCGCCGCGCTGTTGCTCCAGGAACCCTGGCTGAGAACCCCTGGAGGGACGTAGCACCGTCTCCGCCTCTGCTCGAGCCTGCTCATTTTCAAAGTCGTGGTCCATTCAGTCAATCCCGTTGTTAGGCCTTTTTTTCCTCTTACTGCTTTTTATTTACACAGTTACCATGCTAAAGTCTAATAACACTGAGTTCCTTTGGAATTTCAAGTGTAGAAATTTAAATATCTTTCAATAGAGATATGTAAATTTGGGAAAAAAAGTTTTCAAATATGAATTTCTGGGTTTGTTTTTCATATTTAACAAAACAGGCTAGGACTTCCCCTACTGTGTTAAAATAGCACTGACACCAGGCATTCTTTGCCTGCTCAGGAACAGTACCACAGTTTCTCTGGTAGTCTTGTTTGTTGTGGGTTTCAGGGGATGGCCTTTGAGAGTTAAAAATTTTTTAAACCCTCATGTACTAGCATGTTTTATCAGAAGGTTCACATACATTACCAAATGTGTTTACATTTACCTAATGGTTATTCTACTATGTTAATTTTTAATATTTTGCTGTAATTTTTTTATATAACTAAGGATTCTGTTTTTAAAAATAATTTCTGGATTTGCTACTTTGCTTTAAAAAGTCTCAAATTCTTGATTATATATAAATTTTCTAAATTTCTTCTGAAATGTACTGCTTTTAACATTTGAATATATAGTTTTCGTGGAGTGTATTTTGCTATGTGGACTGGCATAGATCAAATTTACTTTCCTCCAGAAATATGAAAAAAATTATAGTACAACTTACTGAAAAACTCCTTGACTGACTGATTTGCAATTGCTGCTTTATTAACAACAAATTCTTATGTATATACCTGAGTCAAGTCCTGTACAGTGCCAGTAATATATTTACTAACATCAACACTACATTTCCTTTGTAAAATTATTTTGGCTGCCTCAGGTCTTTGTTGAGGC